CACCCCTCACCAGCTGCACATGAGATCGGACATTTGCAACAACTTTTCACTTCGCGTGGACTTTGTGGTAACGGCAGACGAGAAATGGGTGCTATATGCAAACTACTCGCGGAGGCGTCAGTGGCTGACCGAGGCAGGAGGGAGCCCCAACACCCAGCGCGGAATCGAGGAAGATAACGTTATGCTGCTAGTGGAACGTCAAGGGGATCGTTCATAGTGAACTCTTGCCAATGGTTCCACTGCCATTGCCGAACTCTACTGCGAGCAGCTGGACCGAGTAACAGCTAAGCTTAGAGGGAGGCAAAAAAGTTTTTTCTTGCATGATAACGCGCGACCACATGTGGGCGAATCACTCAGGAAAAGTTGAGCAGTCTTGGGTAGACCGTGCTTTCTCAAACCCTCATACTCCGGATATTACCCCGTCCGACTACCACTTATATCGGTCCTTGGCACATATTTTGGAATTCTTTGATGAAGATGAAGTCAGAAACGAGCTCCAGTCGTCCTTTGACAGCAAGCCGGAGGACTTTTACAAAAGAGGGATCCGCAAATTACTGAAACGTTGGCAGAGGGTAGTCGACAAAAATGAGCAATATATCAGCGATTGAAATTTGATTATGTGAATAAAAAAATTCTTGAATTAAGAGTTTTTGGGTTTAACAGAAATTATTCGCCAACCCAATATAATGACATGAATGCAAACATATCTTACAACTCAGATACAGCGCTTCAGAATACTCCGACCAATTGCATCATCTCTATATTGATTTTTTTCTAGCATATCGATGAACCCGGAATCGTGGGCATGAATATCGAAAATTATCTTATTGGAGAAAAACAGGTAAGCCGGTCAAGGAAGCAGTAGGTTTTGAAGTACATTCTAGGCACAAACATGGCTCATTGCGCTTTCCACAAAACTCAAGGAATACGACCAGTATTACTGCGTAAGTTGCGAAACGATCACCGTCGGAGGTCGTGATTCGCATGCCGCTGATCCATCCTAACTTCTCCCACTGCATATCAACACTGACCAAGCATGGCTCAAGTGACACGAGGTTCTTGAGCAACCCCACCTTTGCGCGCCTCCAACAATAGCAAAAAATCTGGCATGCAGAACATCATACAAGGTAACACCGCAGCCACAACATTTTTGCGCCAGAGCGCTCCAAATCAAATTAAATGCTACGGGCTCCACTCATGAAGAAAAAAGATATGCAAGCTTACGACACAGAACTCACACAAAATACCCCATTTGCTTAGGTTTTGGTGCTGATCTCGACGGGATGCAAACAATGGTGGACTACGAGAGAGCCACCATCGCCGCCATTCGCACCATCTTCAAAAGCAGTACAAGGCCTTGCATTCCATCTTGCGTTAGTGTGGAACATGCGGCAAAATGCGTTCGGACTGGCGCTCTTCATCTCTGGTGAAAGAGTCACAGCGGAAGTCGCTGAGTAATGGAATTCCATCAAAGGCTGAGGCATTTGCCAAGACGTCTGCACGATGTAATCCGCGCATTGAAGGAACCGCCTGTTCCACGCGACCATCCAGCCCATACTAGGTGTACTAGTTTTCTAGGCTACCTAAATAACACATGGTACAAGGGATCCTTAGGCGATCTTTGGGACAAATCCGAAGTGTTCGATTTAAAATCACTAATGTAGCGGAGGCTCTCCATCAGTCAGATGCTAACGGGAAGCCTTTTTAAATTAATACATCTTTTTTAAGATGGCTGACAATACTAATTGAAGACGTTTCTGCGCAATCAATGTGATCGATATGTTCCACACCTTAAAAGCGGAGGCAGAGCAACACTAAAGCCCCACAGATGGTAAGTAAACCTTATGTAAATCAGTAAATATTCCATACATCCCCACTAGCTGAAGTTTTTCTAGCATCATCAGTGAAAGGAAATCAGCCGCAAGTATTAGGAACGAAGAGGTCAAATAGCTGGTGCAATGAGAACGTGAGGAACCATTTCTGCTAAGTAAACCTATATAATAAGAACGCGAAGATCGCTAACAAGATATAGATATGACGATCGATATCTTTACCGAAGATCGATATAGGGCACAAGATGTGACTAGGGTAGAAGCCGAAGATCAATGCAAAAGCATTGCGATATATGCACCAGATAAAGCAATTTAAAAGATTTATCATTCTCCCTACAAAAACGAATGCATCATACGATTTCCCCAAGAAAGAAAAAAGACATCACTTGTTGGTTGGTTGATTTGGCGAGATACCATACATAGTGCAAGATCATCTGAATCAAGTATTTTGTTCAAAACTCAAATCTTCATTGCCATGTGCTCATCTCGAGTTAATCTTGATTTTTAATTCGTGCTTCCTCAACAGTTCCGCTCGATTTGTGCATCGAAATTACCTGAACGTGGCATTAGTGGTTCATATATGAATCAAAAACGTGGTTATGCCAAATTTGCAAATGGAAGAAACTGAGACGGTCGCTATACGTTATCATATTTCAAGCAGCCTCATGCCTCTGCCTGCAAAATCCTCGTCTTCATTTTTCAAAAATATAGCGAGATAGCGAAATTATAGCTATGAAGAAGCACTCAACGGTGATAGCTGGCAAAGTGATATGTAAAATGTTTGATGATTAGCGGTCACCCATTCGGGTATTCCGTCGCCCGCAACCCTTTTGCATTTTTCGCAAAATTTAGACTCGAGCTCGTAGATGATTTGAGCCTTTGAATTTGATTTCTAGATACTGTTCCTAGTTAGAAGTCGAAGATTGAGCTGTCATATGTTCGTCCGCTACTGTTTAGGTAATAATTTTTGACACAAACGAATGGACACTACTACATACTTACACTTACTGTAAACACACAAGATGCGTTTCGTGGAAATATGTGATGTCTGTGATCAGCATGTCGAATAAATTCCCATAGGTCAAGTTTGAGCGAGTTCCATGAACCGAAATTCTAGCAGCATACTGAAACGGTGCCCAATTGTTTTTGTTGAAAATCTTTACTTAGACCGTAACGAACCATGTGATAGTGGTTGTTCGGGTTTTTTTATTGTGAAATGGTATCGTAAGGAGCATTCCAAAAATATCATTCTACACGCCAAATCTGGTCATCCGATCGCGGTCAAAAGAGCAGTTGTGCGCAACATGTTTAAAACAGCCGCAGAAGTTTGCAGTGGAGAGGAAGAAAAACAAGTTTCTCTCAAGCTCGCAAGGAAGGTTGCAGAAAATAACGGCTACTTTCCAGCAAGATCCAGACATTCGGAAAGAACACCTAATGGTAAGCAACATGACCAAACTAGAGCCATGATTCCCTTGAGTTTACCATTCATCTCTGACAGGGTCACAAACGAGTTCAAACGGTGTATCATACAAGCACAGCTGAACCAAGATGTTGTACTCGTAAACATTCCTGCAAACAACATCAAGCGACAGCTAGTACGTAATCGTCTATATGATACGGCTTGTATCACACAGAACTGCGTTGTATGCCCTAATGGCAGAGTAGGGGATTGTGCTAAGTTTGGCGTAGTCTACGAGCTCGAATGTCTGGATTGTCATGCAACCTATATCGGAGAGACGGGGCGTTTACTCAGCATCCGCGTTAACGAACATCTAGCCAGTAAGAAACGGGGAAGCACGATGAGCCCACTCGGAAAACATAGAGCAGATCACGGCGGTAACGATTTTTGCGTTAAGTGCACGATTTTAGCGTATGAAGGTAAAATTGCGGCTCGCAAAGCACTGGAGGCGTCGTTCATCCTCTCGCGTCAGCCAAAGATGAACGGCAAGAATGAACAGCTATCTATCACCAGCGATCTTATGCCGTTCATATCGTATTGTCAACTGTAAGATACCCACGACTACTTAAGCTGTCCATTAGTGTGACAGTTCAGTCATTTGTCGTCAGTGGGTGGATCGTAAGTGAGCGGCGTTGCTGACATTGGTGAGTTGCCGTAGCATGAGGACTCAGTACCGTCCACTTAGAACGAATTGAATGAAGCAAGTGGAGGACGGCGTCGTATAAAGCAACGAATACTGAGCCAGACTATCTTTCAGGCCTCTGAGGAAGGCATTATTGCCGAAATGTCAGGCTGAATAAATAATACTTATAACAAACCTGTGTGGCAAAATATCGCAGAAGAAGGTATTAGATTCGCTGCATAATTTCGCTTCGCTTTTGACAACAAGATAAAATTAAGTGTTTGTTTGTTTTCTACACTTTTCTTCTACTTTCTTCTACTCAACACATCAAAAACAAAGTTATCGATTGTTTTGCAAATAAAATCATGTTAGTCATCTTGACTTGTTATTATTCATAAAGCCATACTAAGGCTAAGTATAAGCAAAACATCTACTCCTAGCAAAGATTTACGTTTGCACCTAATAGACTACGGAAGTCTAACAATGAATAATAACAGGCAAGAACACTTTTGCAAACGTTTTCGATATCTAGGCAGCATACTATCCTTACTATAGTAATTAGCTGAATTTTCTATAGTTTTGGGATACACTTATACCTTCACGCCTATCATCGCTTGCTAGGACCTGTATGTCATGCGGATCGAACTACTAAGCAATAGTTTTGTTACAGAATCACAGTAAGTCGGCGTGAATGGGAGAAAGAATGGAATGGACGAGGAGAGTAGAATAAGAAAAGGGATTACTATACTACATGCTCAAGACCAAAAAGTTCATAAGTGAGTACTTATATACTCAGAGTTCCATTCTTAATTTTAATGATGACCAGACCCTTAGAGATAAGAGTTCGAAAAGAGTCCTATGTAGCTAGTACTCCGATATGCGAAGGGCGGGAGGGGAAATGTTCACGCCTGACCCAAGCAGCCTTGCAATGGATTATTGATGGATCGGTAGTCAATGGTATGACCAACATAGGACAAAATAACTGACTAGAAAAACATTAGCTTACCTCGCGGCAGCTTCTGATTGTATGATACAATTTTCTTCTGGAAGGGGGCACTCATGATGTAGTCGAAATGACGTTGCGCAACTAGGAACTGCAAACAAGTATAGAATGCACACCATACTATATCAAGCTCTATAACTCACAGACATGTTACAGAGCATCCTCCGCGATTGACGTATGAAATTTCGCTGCAAATTAGATCCCTCTCGCTATCGAATAGAGGTTTGCAATAGTCGAATTTGCCTAGTAGTTGTTGAAGAGCTTGACATTTGGTGACTCCGAAAGGAAGGGGGACATTGATAGCCTAAAGCAAATAATAAATATAATCGGATAAATGTAAATATCTTACCATTAGCCATCCAGTACGGGTCATGCGTCGAACCAATTCGATTTCTTTACCGGCCTTGTCGTATCGATGAGTTAGCTTGTCCAGAGCGACCCCCAATGCCATCAGGGCATTAGAGATTGCAGAATCTAGGTTATTTTCGGGAGAGAGGATAGACTTGAGGGTAGCCGCCACACTAGGAATATCAGACATTATTGGAGTATCCAAGAAGTTGCTATATTTATATGAACATTTCCCGCCAAAAATTGACAACCCGTAAATGACCATTTGAATCGTTATATGGATAGAATTTGATCTAAAAATCAACGGAGTTCTTCTAATGGGGGATTTCAAACAGTGATAAAATGTATTTACGTGAATGCTATAGCTTTACTCAGTTGAGTAGATAACGTTGTTCACAATAGCGTTTTGCACAACAGATGTTGCATGAATATATAATGTAACATGTAAGATGGAGAGAACTTTTGACCTTTTATGTGAATCTTTGTTAAAAACAATGATAGGGGTTATTGGTCACTTAAGGATCTAAGTCTAAATAAGAGGAACAAACATCAAATTGACTAGATTACAATAAAATAAACTATGCGAACTGCACGATGGTTAGAATAAGAATCATCTTTTGAAACCTGCTATCAACCAAGTGTAAGATTCCCAACATTTTGGGATATTTTAAATAATTCAGATTCAAAGAACATTGATAGCCTGTCTACCGCTTTTGCATTAAGAACAAGAGTGGACATAAGGTCCTTAGGTAGACAGGTAGGCCTTATGCTAGGCATATGCCACACATGATTCTAGTATCCTAGAAACTACTGTATCCTTCAAACATACCAAAACGTCGGGTAAAAGAAAAGTAAAGGGTAGCAATTATGCTACATGCTAGTTCACATATTTAGGGTATACTAAAACACACAACATCTGATAATTGGATTTTCCTCTTGCAATAAGAGCAAGAAGGAAAAGATAGGTATTAATCTATTCACCGCGAAATTCGTCCACGCATAATCTATCTAGTTATACGGGAATTCGGAAGGAGTCAGCAAAGAAATAAAAAGTATTAACAAATATACCAAACACAAACAAAATGAAGTAATGTGACACAACAATACATCACCGGTAACATAACACAATAATAACTATATGGAGGTCCTACGTTTCAATAAATAATAACAATTACTTGTAATAACGACAGATCAAACAAGATATAGATAAGCAGTAAGTATTTAATGAAATCGTTAAGTGATAAGAGAATTAAATTACCGATAAAACATAAACAATGTAATTATAATTTAACATATCTAAAGAAGGAATATAATGATGACAATTTATCAACTCTAAGCATAAATGAAGAAGACACAATACACATAAGTAAGCATAAACTTACTTATACATACTTATTTAAAACATAGAAAAGAAATGAAAGAACACAGATGAATATGTACAAAAACAAATAATTCAAAGATTATGATTAAAACCAACAAACAACGACATATACAAGTTAATAAATATATTACACATATACATACATAGATAGATGAACACATGTACATATATGAACATTATCCACACATACGCACATATATACATAGATACATACAAAGACATATACCTACAGATTCACAAAGAGGACTTTTCTAAATAGCTATCAAATAATCGCTGTGCTAATACACAAAAATTTTTGGAAAACAGTTTAACAGTTCGGGAGAACCCTGGCGTGGTGTTGGGCATAAACTATCCAATGCAGTTTGCACCACGGGTAACGCTCCCCGGCGATGAAGAGGTTCGCCCTAACCTAGGGGAAAATAATCTCCATAAGGAAACTGCATAAGAGTCCAGGAAGGACCGCCTCCGACTCAATGGATTTGAGGTCCCTTAACCAAAACAATTTAACAAGAATAAATCAATGTTCTATGTTGTCCTTGAGTGATAACAACAACAGCGAAAACCGGTTGAGGCTAGTTAATAATCCTGTTTCCTCTGTTACAACAGGAACGAGGTGCAGTAGAAGAAACTGCGAAGTTTGTGACAAAATGATATTCAAGTCATATACTCAAAGTTCCACAACACACTACTGCTTCAGAACTAATAAACCTAATATCTCAAATTGTGACGCAAGAAATGTAATTTACATGGTAACTTGCCTTACTTGTAAACTACAATATGTAGGAGAAACAACACAAACCGTAAGAGCAAGAATTAATCAACATCGCAGAAGTTTTAAAAAACTTAACATAAATACATTCATGGTGAACCACTTTCGAGACACAAGCCATGACCCAAATAATATTAGTATTGAAATTTTAGACCATGTAAGAGAAGAAGAAGATAATGTGAAAAAACAGCTTAGAGAAAAAGAATTGCAGTGGATACAATATATTGTAACAGCGTACCCCTTCGGGTTTAATGACCAGATAAAAGGATTCGGAAACATTTCAGATAATGTCAACCCACTAGAGAAGAAACAACACCCATACTTTATATGTCCGATTACAGTAAAAAGAAGAAGGGGTAAGAAAAGAAGGTCAAAGAAAAAGAGGGAATGTTATGATAGAACAGGAGAAATAGTAACAATAATAGGTAACTTAGCTAGCCACACTCTGTACACATACTTCAGAACATTGAATAAGGCAGACATAAATCGCTTAATAGATTTTACTTTTACAAGTGATTTTTCACGACTAAATTTTGAACATAAATATAAAATATATTCATTAGTAGCAACACCTTTTTGGGGGAGGAAAGAGAAAGAAGAAGTACACAGAGAGAAAATCAAGGTCATAATACCATATCAAGGTCCTATTATGGAAAGACTGAAATTATCTAAGTTATGTAACAGTTCACATATCCAACGCATATTAACGGAGCAATTACACGTAGATAACGTGAAAGATATTAGAGTACGAGTTCAGTACACTTTGAAGAAACCTTTGGCTTTGGAAATATGCAATTACCACAGCTTCCTCAAAGGTATACATAATTGTCTCAAAGAGGCAATAAATAATCAGACATGTGACTGCAGCAAATATCCGGAATATATAGACACATATCATAAACACATTTGCACAGGAAGCTTAGATTTCATACGTAATAATAACTTACGAAATGTATTGAATAAAGGAACCAAATACAGAAGACACACTATAGTTACAAAAGCAGAAGTTAAGGAGGTGTTAGATGAACTAGCTAAACAGTTAACAATAAAATATACAAACAAATTCCACACTTCAACTGCTAATAAGGAAACAATAAATAAGAAGTTAACTGAATATTTCAGAAATAAAACTAAGTGTAAGCTTTATAACATATATGACAATAACTTAGTCGAGTGCGATGAATATGATAAAGATGCTCTCAATAGAATACAAAAAAGCTTCGTAATTACTCCAATAGATAAAGCAAGTGCAAATTTCAGTTTTACATGCAAGAGGTTCTACCTCCAAATGATCAAGAAAGAAATGGATCAGACAAACGTAGAAGGTCCTACCTATATACCAACTTCAATTCAAGTAAATGAGATACGAAGTAAACATAAACACTTATTAAACAGCTTGAGCCTTAAATATGATGAAAAGTTCAATGAAGTGCCTAGAATATATGGAATTCCGAAAATGCACAAAAATCCCATAAAATTTAGATATATAACCGGAGCAAAAAGAAGCACAATTAAGCCACTTACTACATTACTTCAGCTCATATTAGCTCATATTAGAAAACATTTCGCTAATTATTGTAAAGTTATTAAGAACAGGAATAAAATTAAACATTTTTGGGCTATAGAAAACAGTAGTGAGGTAGTGAGAGACTTAGCCTCTGCTAATGGAAACTTAAAAGTGTATTCGGCCGATTTCTCCAGTCTATTCACAAGTCTTCCACATAGTGTCGTTAGACGCAACTTGAAGAATCTCATACATTTATGTATGAAAGGATATAAGTACATCAAAGTGAATGGTAACAGAGTGTCATATGCAAACACAAACTTAACACAAGGAAAGTTTTATCAAATAGAGGACGTTATGTATATGATAGATTCACTATTATCATCAAGCTTTTTGTACTTTGGGGGAACAATATATCAACAAATAAGGGGTATCCCTCAGGGTGCATCGTGCAGTCCGCAGATGGCAGATCTTACCTTAGCATTTTTTGAATATGAATTTATGCGAAATCAAATAGGAACTTTGGATAACCAGAAAAGATTCATGTTTAACCATACGTATAGGTACATAGACGACATCCTACACGTATCGCCTTTTGCAGTAGATTTCGAAAGAATGGTGGAAGCCATATATGACCAGTCTCTAAAGATTGAAAAAACCAATACAGAAAGAACGACAACAAATTTTTTGGACCTCACCATAGAAATTAGAGTCAATTTTGTCAGATTTAGTCTATATAATAAAACAGACGATTACAATTTCAAAGTTATTAGATATCCCCACTGGTTATCAAACATACCTCGATATATACTAACCAATACTTTGACAACCGAGGTATTACGAATTTATCGGAACTGTACATCTTATACAGATTTTAGAGATAGATTAGTGGAACTTAGCCATATATTGAAGCGTAACGGATGGGATAGTAGCAACTTCATACATGCTTTGTTCCATACCTTGTATAACAGGCCAAATATTTTACGTAAGTACGAGTTCTACACCGCAGTACACCTCCCACTACTCCATGACTTACGTGCGACCTGGCAATAAGCCAACGCGCTATATTCGGGCGGGAGGACAATTGAGGACAAGATATAAGACCTCAGCAGGGAATAAGTGCCATTCATTGTCACAGCGTTAGTATGGTTTTCACCTCATTCTCCTTTCTTCCTCCACTCCTCTTCAAATTAGATTATACTAGGTTCTAGTATCTCTTTTACGCTTTCTTGCGAAGTACTGATGAGGGGCAGCAAGAAAGCCACATTACCGGTATACTTCTAAGCCCCGAAACCGGTGTGTGAAATTTATTGGCTAACACTAGGCGATACTAGGCTTTCGTGTTTCTTTTACAACCTTATTCTCTTTTGTTTATGTAGACACTATGTGTTCGATTGTGTTTGCCACGTAGAAACACGTCAAGGCCTGAGGAGAGTTCGTTCAAGGAGGCGGACCGTTCGCCCATTCTCTCTAACGGCCCGCCTCCTTGAACGAACTCTCCCCAGCCCTTGACGTGTTTTCACGTGATAGACAGGA